CTATTATAATAAAACATATAATTAAGTAATGGAGACTTGGCATCCTAGGTTCAATAATTAGCACTACAATAAACAAAACAGCATATACTTTTATATATAACTTTAGGTATTTTGTTATTATCAGGAGCAGAGTTATGAACCATTAATTTTTATGCAAAAAACTTAACTTTCTCGGGTTAACTCCAAGGAGAGTTAATGATTAGAATGAGACTCTTATTTAAAACTAATGAAAAAAAAAAGAGTAAGTACAGAGTTAGAAAAAGCGTGTTTTATATTAACATACTGTCAATGATTAGCAACTTAAAAATAAATACTAAACCTTAGTTTTAGTTCTACAGAGAGTTACAACCTTTGCCTTATAGGCGCAATAACACTGAGTTCAGCACTTTATAAATGCTACCTATACTATTCTCACTACAATCCCATGAGATAAGATTCACAATCCCATGAGATAAGATTCAGTGTTTCCATTTTGCCAAAGAGAAAATCTCAGCTTATGTCTCAGCCAAGGTCACACAGTTCATTAGGGGCAGTTAGAAATGACACCTACATCAATCTGTTTCCAGAGCATGTATTTTTCTCCTGGGATAAAACCTCTTAAGAGTAATAAGACCATGTGATGCTTATAAAACAAGGGTCAGAGAGTGCTTTGAATGTTTCAAAAATACTTTTGGAATTCATTCAGAAAAGGGAATAGTTAGGCCAATTTAATTCAGAGGCTGGACTACCACAGTGTAAAGTGTCTATATTAAGCATGTTTTCAGTGAAAGGAGCTATGTATCAATTTACATTCTGGTGAATACTTCTAATCTTCTGAACCAATAACATTTAGTAAACAAATAGCCAATCCATGGACTATGTTTTAAATGAAATAAGCTTTAAAGACTTCAAAAACTTTCCTTTTCTGTGAATATGAAATCATTTTGGATAAGAAAAGATCTTCAAAGTTATTCTGATTTTCTACTTACAAAGAAGTAGACCAAAGGCTGGATTTATTAAAGCTAATGTCCTAATGTCTACCACTCTGTTAGTAGGAATTAATTTGAGTTGAAGTGATACTGATAGCTTTTATAAATTTAATTTTTGCAAAAGCAAAGGAAAGTAATTTTCCCAAAGAATAAACAATATGACTACCAAGTATAATGATAGTTATAGTAAAATATACATTTTATCTGTATTGTTCATACCTGCACCTCCTCCTATGCTCAGAATCTTAATTTCTGATTTTGTGTCTCCAAACCTGAAAAAAAAATTATATAGTCTAAGAAAAATGTGCAAGTTCCTTTGCCAAATCTGATTATCAAGTCTACTTGAGAAGAACAAGACTAAACAGTGCAGACAACAGCCAGCATCAATGGTCCCAATCATCTGTGCTATGCTACTCTCTTCAGAGTATCTTTAAAATACCGGCTCCACCTGGTCATAATAAAACAAAGAAAAAAGTGTGTCAACTCAGAATTCCATATCGAACAAAAATACCTTCAAAACTGATAAATTTTCAGATGAATAAAAGCTGAGTATGTGTATAAACCTTCATGGCAAGAAATGCTAAAGGACACATTTCTAGCAACAGAAAACAATGCTAGATGGAAACTCCAATCTACAGAAAAGAATGAGTAGCGTCCGGAAGGCCCACCCTGAATATAGGCAGTACTGCCCTATGGGTTGGGGCCCCAGAATGAATACAAAGGAAAAAACCAGCTGAGCTCCTCATTCGTGTCTGCTTCCTGGCTGCAAATGCAATGTGACCACCTGCCTCATGCGCCTGCCTCCATGATTTCCTGCCACGGTGGACCACATCCCCTGAAACCAAGCAAAATGAAATCCTTCCTTCCTTGAAAAAAAAAAAATGCCCACTTCATTCACTAACATTCTTGAAACTGAAGACTTAGAAGCAGCACCAAGAGCACCTTATAGGTAAAAACTGACATTCCTTTGGGGCTGTTTGGAGAACAACGACTCAGTTCTATCTATCTCTGTGGACCTGAGTCTGATGATATGAAAAGCTAGGCTTTCTGCTATGATGCCTGCTTCCTTCTTTCTTTCTTCCGCTCAGTGAACCAATATGTATCATATGCCTATCCAAAGGATTGAGGTTCAAAAGTAAATAAGGTACTACTTTATTTTCAACTTTAAAATGTGAGATAATATAGGCTTGAATTATGGTTCTAGCCCAGCATTTGGAGTAGGACAGGCAGAATAGAAGAACTTCAGATGCATATTAAAGTATGAGAACAAAAGGCTGTGTGCACAGTGGCTTCCAAGTTTCTGTGTCAGATGACTGGGCGAAGAGGCAGCTCAAAGTGGGAGCTGGAAGACACCAGTTTTTTTAAAAAAGAAATTTTAATCCAGTAGACATTGCAAATGCAAGATTTAAGCTGCATGGGAGAAACATCAGGGACAGTGATGGATTCCAGAGAGTACTGGTAAGACCCTAAATTTTTCAAAGTAAGCAAAACCAAACAGAAATAGCTAAAAAGTCACATGTTAAAAATGAGGTGTTAGGGGCTAGAGAGATGGCTCAGTGGTTAAGAGCACTAGCTGCTCTTGCAGAGGATCAGGGTTCAGTTCCCAGCACCCACATGGTAGCTACAGCTGTCTGTAACTCCAGTTTCAAGGGATGTGATGCCCTCTTCTGGCCACAACAGGCATTGCACAACATGGGTGGACAGGCATACGTGCAGGCAATACACTCATACATGCATAAGAAAAATAGATAGAATACCTCTTCAGAGGGGGGAATGTTAGAATAGCCAAAAGCCCCATAAAAATAAATAAATCAATCAAAGAAGAAGAAAGAGTATATGAAGGTATCAGAAAAAAAGTGATGGGGAGATATGGGAAGAATTGGAGGGGAGGGGATTTGATCAAAACACCTTATATGCATGTATGAAATTCTCAATAAATTATTTATGCAAATAAAAAAGACAGAGCTAAATCCAGAGCTTTATATGAAGCAGTGAAAAATATGTTCAAGCAATTTTCTTTGTCCATTGCCAACATACCTGATATAGCTATGGATGGTGCCCTGATAATGGGAAATAAAAAAGGGGAGCTTGTAAAGTGAAAAAAAAAAAAGATGAATAAATAAATGTTTAAATGATGTGTTCGAATGGCATCAACAATCACAGTAGCTAAAAAACTGTGGAGAAGTACCTTTAAACTTGTGATACAAGATCTTTTTCTGAATAACGTTTTAAACCCAAACTAACAAGAATTTATATGGAATGAAGGCATTTGAAAATGTGAAGTCTCAAAGACTCCGACGTGCATCCATGTAGAGTTTTTTAACATTAGCACTAGTAAAAATATTAACTGAAGGAACCCAGCAATAGAGGCATGATGAGGCCCATCAACAGAGAATAATATTGGAGAGAAGAGAACTACTAGAAAGTGAAGGAATTTCCCCTATCAATGGTTGTACCACTAGCCAAAACCAGATCATCCCTGAAAAAAGAACAGAACGTTCCAGAAAAGTTTCCACAGGAAAAGATATACAAATTATTAGTTTAAGTTGCACATGCAGAGAAGAGATTAATGCTCTGAGTAGAGAAGCACATAGAAAACTAAGAAAGCTGAAATCAGAGCAACGAGCTGAGTTCCTAATGAATTCCAAGAAAAAAAATCAAAATCACACATGAAAGGAATATAATTACAGATATGTTCAATTAAAAATAGCATGTACAAAAATATATGGCATACACTCAAATTACTTAACTAAATTTTTGGCAAAAATATATCTATTTGGAAAATACGTAAAATGAATGTTTATTTAGCTATTTTAATACAGTGAAATTAAGAAACAAACAAAAAAAATGCTGTTTTAGAACTACAGAAAACCTTTCCCTAAGAAACAAATTATTTTGAACAGAAAAAGACGAAGACTGGATTCAGAGGAGTGCTTAAGCTGGGCATAGTGGCACATACCTTTAATCCTGGCACTGGGGAGGTAGAGGCAGAAGGATCTCTGTGAGATCAGGGCCAGCTAGTCTACATGAGTTCCAGGCCATCTGAGGCTACAGGAAGAACCTGTCTCAAAGACAAAGAAAAAAAAAAAGGAGTGCCAAGACAAATGACCATTGTTTGTTGTCACAAGCTAAAACACACTGTTTTAATAAAAATACTAAACTAAGTAGGCTGTCTGTAAGCAGTTACCATGCTCAACCACCCACTTAGCAAACCCTGCCCTAAAGACACAACTAAGTTTGAGGACTCATCTTAGCATATCATAAATTGTAAACACTTGAAGCAAAAAATAATATTTACAGGTCCTTTAAGTCTAGTTTCAGAAGGGAAAAGTGAGTTCTTCCTTTCCTCCTTCGTTTTCATTTGTTTGTTTTCTGAGGCAGTGTGTCACATTATAGCCCAGCCTGGCCTGGAATTCATGGCAATCCTCCTGCTTCAGCCTTCCAGTTACTGGAATTGCTGGGATTACAAACATTAGCCATGATCCCTGACAAAGTTGTTTCTTAAATAATGACATTTTTATTCAGATATTCATGTTTATAAATCACCACTATAACACAAATTTAGTTATGACTATGATGTCTAACGAGTCTTTCACAAATCCTGTACTCTTTTCAATTTAGATTGGAGGTTTTGAAAACACAGAAGGGGTCATTATGTGAAAGTCATCCACGATACAACTTCAGACTAAGATGTGAGCTGAAGAAAACTAACGATCTGGATAAGCAACAGAAATGACTCTTAGAAATTAACTCATTACCTACACTTTTAGAAAGATACAAAGAAGTAAATTATAATTTTAGGTAAAAGTTGTTTGTTCTCTGATGATATTTTTAAAATTTTATTGTTTGAGAATTTCATACTGTATTTTGATCAAATTCAACCCACTGGTCCCTCTCCTCCAAGTCCTCTCCTATTTCCTACCACCACTTTTCCTTCTCAAGTTCAGGTGCTGTTTTCTTAAAACATGAGTCCCCATAGTTCTGCCTGCATGTTCATGGTGAGGATTTACCACAGAATTCATGCTTTCATTTTTCTATTATTTGTCCCATTGCATGTCAATTATTAGTATATTATGCAATACTCTGTTTTTTAGGAACTAACATTTAAAGACACAAAATACAAGACTGGGAAAATGATTCAGCTGGTAAGGTGCTTGATGAGCAAGTGTGAGGACCAGAGTTCAATCCCCAGATAGAGGACAAAGCTTGCACCTGTAAACCATGCAGAGTCCCCGTGGCCAGTCAGGCTAGGCTAATGGGAGAGCTCCAGGCCAGTGAGAACTTCTGTGTCAAAATAAATAAATAAATAAAAATTACAGCTGACCTAAATTGTAGGCACCTGAAACTTTGTGAGCACTTTCTCATGTCACTAACCTTGGATGGAATTTCTTGCAAGGCTCACCAACTGATTAGCACACTGGAGATTGTGGGAGAGTCTGAAATGTTACAGATCCTGAGCCTATTCACAATTTATCTGGGGACATCTTTAATCTCATAAATAGCCACATCTTGCCTACCTCTGTTTCTGAATTAACATTCTTATGACTAATAAAATATATTAACTTGGTACAGCACCAGTCTCACCAATCAAAAAGCTAAGAATGTCATCAGATAGCATCTGAGACCTATAGTAGAAATTCCCCACTTTGCCATGACCCACCTACTGAATGTAACCACCAATGTATTTGAAAAGTGTCTTGATTTATGACTTTTCTTTGTTCTGTTACTTTAAAAATGTAATGTTGTTAGAGTATTAATAAGCCCTATAAGTTTAACTGGCCAAGACTATAAAATCATTAGTCTATCTGTTGGAGGACCTACTTTCCCAGTCTCACTTGTCAATTACCTGGTGATAGAACCACTCCTAGGAAGGCAGGTTCACCTTATGTTATGCTAAACAGATGGGCGGAATACCTGGTGTGTTAATTATGTGGTGAATATTTCATGTCTGGAACTAGCTCAGACCTTGCAGAACTTCCAGACCAGCCACATCAAGGTAGGTCTCCGTAAGTCTGTCTGCTTTCCTGAACTCTTCAGGAAAGCGTAATTTCTCCTTTTCTTCTTCATGCCTTTCTTACTAAACATGCCTTGTTTAAGGCTTTGGGCTGCCCCTAGCATCTTGTATTTCTTCACTTTTTCCCTAAAGCTTCCTCTCTCAGCCGTGTGGCTGCAAGTCAGTCACGTGTCTGACCTCCATGTAGGCTCTAAAACTGCATGGCTTCATGATTTTCCTTCCTTCTTCCCACCATTCACCTCCTCAAGGCAGCTGACCAGCTCACCTGCCCTGAGATTTTTCTTTAAGATTCCAATAAAATTGCAAAAGCTTCCATTTTGGTCCATTCTTAAATTCTTCTATGAATGAGACTAAGAACCCTCTAGGGGACCCTCTTTCTCTCTGTCTCAATGTAACTGTTACCACCATGGACATAGAATTTGAGGTTAACCTGAATATATGTTCACAGGCCATGGTCCCTTATATTTGGCTGAATAACTATCTCTTATCCCCTTTGAGGTGAGGGTTATGCTTTTGCGTCAACAGGAAATACAAAGGGCTGTAGAATTCTGTATTTATCCAACATCTCTTTGGTTAGGGAGAAGTAATATCACAGAGAAATAATTCCGTGGAGAAACTCTGCTAAAAGCAAAGATATCAGGTTTCTTTGCTGTCTGCAAATTAGATTCACAGTCAGTCATTTCTTACTAGTTTCCCATCATTATTTCTTCAAGCAAAGGGAGTTAGAACATTTTATCCCTAGATAGGTGATTTGACTATCTTTAGCATATGGAATCTGTTACTCTCAATAATGCTTATCAGCTTTGGGACAAATTGAACACATTAATCAAAAATAATAAATAAAGGAGTCTGTGAAAAGGATAGAAACTAGTTTCACAGATAATGGGAAAATGCTCTTTCTTAAGGGTCATGGTAATATTAAGTTGACGAGAAAAGACAATTTCTTTTGGAGAGTGATAACTACAATAACAGATAAAGGGAAACGAATTTAAATCAGTATTATTAGAATTGAGAAGCAGCCTTTCAATGCTTTGGAGCAAATAGTATTATGCAATTATTTACACTTGATTCGAAGGAACGCAATACCGGAGTCCATTAGGGAATTTTTTTGAGGAGGAGGAGGCTGGAAAAAAAATCTGAGTTTAAAGATTTCTATCTTATCTTTTCCCAAATGAGCTTGGCATTGTGCCTTTAAACCTTCAAATGGTTAACACTTATCTCAGCGTAGTTGGTAACAGCACAAATCAGAGCGTCTCAGTGCAAAAAGCAAATGTCTAACCCGAGGAACCCAGCGCTGCAGGAGCGAGACTGGCTGCTCCAAGGCGAGGCCGGCAGGAGAGCGGGGGTTGGGGGGACTGCCGAGTCCCCGTGTCGCCTCCGGGCTGGGTTCCACCTATCTATCACTGGCCCGCAGCCTTGTGTGTCCCTTTGACAAAAATGTTCATTTGTTACCTTGCTATTACGCCTGGCAGCTTCTTGTCCATGAATTCCTGCATGCACTGGTGTTCCGTGGACTTACTGAGAAACCTCCGAAAAGATTCAACATATCTGCTGTGGTCAGAGAACAAGCTCCTCATGCAAGATGCCATATTGGGTTTTCTAAGGAAAGCAGGGAGGGGTGCAACATTTAACTTCCTCTCTTCCTGCTAGTTCCCTCTTTCTCTCCCCACCCCCACCAGTTTCTGTCCTGCCCAATAAATAAAAATAAGTAATACATGAATAAATAATAAAATAAAATCAGCTAAGCTTGCGTTGCATTTTACATGCACCCAGAAGCTGCGTACTCAGCTCAGTGACTCAGTATTTGTACAGGACTTTGTGCTGGAACTTTAACCCCTACAGCGTTGTTCTGTGAGAAACAGAGGTAGTAAGCAGCCTAGAGATTCCAAGCTCTAAAAGCATATTGCATTCAAATCACTTCCTGTGTTGTCAGCAGCTGTCACAAGTTCTTAGTAGAAAAGAGCTTTGTTTGGGAATTTGCGTTTGTTTGTTAAGCCATCAAAGCACAGGACTGAACTGGATAGTGACAGGCTACACCACTTGCAGAAATCTGGAACTGGCGGAATCTCGACCAACAGCTGCCTCTATGTTATGCAGGAGTTTCTGCCTTCCCATATCTCAACTGGGCTTTCTTAAGCTCCCACCTGCTGTATCTCTTCAAAGGCTGATTGATCGCTTTGTTGGAACTCAGGAAATCTCTTCAGTTAAGGAGGACCCCGAGAACGATCAGTGCATGTTAAAGCCACCTGTAGCCTCCATGTTTCCTTAAAAGGATGAGCATGTGCTCCTAAATCTTGGAACTTTGAAAGCTTTTGTAAAACCAGGCTTATTTAATGCTTAACTCCACATCCATCTCTCTGTGACTGTTAGCTCACAAGGACAGAAGCACTTTTGGTCTCCCTGTTAGGTTTTTAAATGCTTAAAAATATGTGTAATGTATTTTCACTGGCGTTAACAATCAATATTGATAACTCTGCTCTCACCTGCTCTCCATCTTTTTCATTATTAGTAGTTGTGTTACGCTATTAATTCCATTTATTGAGTTATTATTATTTATTGAGTTATTATGATACGCCAGGAGTAGTGTGATTCTTTTCAAATTTAGTTTAAGAATTTCCCTGTTTTTACAGTATATCCATGAGCTTCCTCCCAATACCGGAAAGAGACCGGGTTTGTAAGAGGTTGAGTGCTTTGCTCAAAGGCTGCTGGCTGAGCAGTGCAAGGACCCAGGACTATTGCAGGGACCTTGAGCTCTTAACACCTGTGTTCTCATTAAAGCCTGTGTGTTCATTTCAAACCTGCCTCCTTGGACCTCCTAGAGGACCTCTCCTTTCATTTTGCTTAAACTTAACAGGATGCATCCACTTCTTTCCCATATCACAGTCATTTGAAAATTTGAAATCAACTATTAGAAAACCTCACTTCCTAACATCTCTGGCTCTTCCAAAGCTCCTGGTTATTTCTTTTCTGGTATATCTTTGTGTAATTTACTACTCTGTTCTCTTTTGTTGGAAAGATTCTATTTTGTTGTGTTCCTTTTAAAAAATGGCATTTGGAAATAAATGCAGCATGCCAAAGCCTACGTATTAGTGAAGGCTACCACTGGGAGTAGACTACTCCATAGTGCTCTGTTCTCTACAAATTCTTCAAGATTTTTAATAAAATGACCTACAGAATCTCAATTGCATGGTCAAATCACTTATAAAGGATTAATTCAAGTTTCTCTAGATATTCAAAATATATATTAGCATACCAGAAGTTCACATAACCATTGTCACATACCCTCTTGAAATATACTCCATTTACCTATGGCATTTTTCTGATTGGCTTTACAGCCTTTCCAAAATTCTTTGAGAGGAAACACCATATCAAAGTACCTTCTATAGATCATTTCATTCAATACTTCTAACCTCCTAGGTTTGGAACTATTGATACCAGTAGGTAGAGCTCAGAGCTTCTAAGTTGTACAAGATCGCATGACCCCTAAAAGAATAAATTCATATTTGATATCAAGGCTCATTATTTTTCTTAAATTGCTCCATACTACCTCTCATTATTCTGTACCTATCCAAAATGAAGGTTAATTTCTCTGTTAAAGAAGATTAGAGCATTAGAAAAGGTGAGTAGTTCTGTATTCTTCCAGTGCCTATTCCCATGATACCATCTATACAATATCAAAAAGAAAGGAAGGAAGGAAGAAGAAAGAAAGAAAGAAAGAAAGAAAGAAAGAAAGAAAGAAAGAAAGAAAGAAAGAAAGAAAGAAAAGAAAGAGAAAAAACAAACTCTTGTTCTATATGAGCTATGCCAAAAAAATAAATTAAGAAAGAGAAAAAGTGGAGCTTGAGAGATGGCTCAGCAGTTAAGAGCACTGGCTGCTCTTGTAGAGGACCCTGGTTCGATTCCCAGCACCCACATGGTGACAAACAACCATCTGTACCTCCAGTTTCAGGGGAATCCAATGCCCTCTTCTGACCTCCTCGAGCATTGCAGGATTGGTGTGCTTATACACATTCAGGCAATACATGCCAAGCACTGACTGCTCTTGCAGAGGACCTGGGTTCGATTCCCAGCACCCACACGGCAGCTACGAACCATCCTTAACTCCACTTCCAGGAGAATCTGAAGCCCTCTTCTGACTTCCACGACATTGCATGACATGGGTGCACTCACATGCATGCAGGCAATACACTCATACACATAAAATAAAAATAATAAATAAAATATCGGTTTATCTCTCTTAACTCTGACTTTTAATATTAAGGACAATGTTCTCAGGACTGGAAAGATAGTTCAGTAGTTAAGAGAACTTGCTGTTTTTGACGCATAACCACTTTACAATATTAGTTTTTCCAATCCAGGAGCATAAACAGTCTTTTCATTATCCACCTCCAGTTTCTTTTTCTAGTGTCTTAAAGTTATTGCTGTAGATATCTTTCACCTCTTCAGTTAGATTTATTGGCAAAAACACTTCAGGATACAGATATGGGCAACAAATTTCTGGATCGAATATAGGGAAAGAGTTCTAAGAACTGATAAATGGAATTACATGAAATAAAAAAGATTCTGCACAGCCAAAGAAACCATAACAGTATACACAGCCTACAGAATGGGAGAAACTTTTTTCCAACTGTCTTTCAGATGAGAGGGAGTTTATAAATAGAATATATAAAGAATGGTAAAAATTAAACACCAAAACAAACCACAAACTGCCAATCAATAAATGGACCTCACAGATATCTCAGAAGAAGAAATACAAATGTCCAAGAAATATTTTTATGGGTGTTCAACATCTCTAGTCATCAGAGAAATGCAAATTAAAACCTCTTCAGCCTTCCATCTCACCCCAGTCAGAATGGCCACCATCAAGGAAACAAATGACAATAAATTCTAGCAAGGGCCTGAGGAAACAGAATACCTCACCTTCTGTTGTAAATGAGTGAGGTTGTTATGGAACAAGGAATGAGGCTGAAGAAAATGGTTGAAGTTGCTTCTACTAAATAATTCAAATCTAAAAAGTCACCTGAAATATTTTGGATCCCCTGCCATGTCAGTTAATGTTTCCATCCCAGTAGTAAGTCCATTTTTTAAAACTTTTTTCCCCAGTCAGGATAAGAAGTAAACATATACTGAAATTATATTTGTTTAGCAATTGTTTTTGTTTAATCTGAACTTAAAAGACTCTCAATCATATAGTAAGAGGCAGTAATTTACTCTTCTTGGTAGCTATATCCAAAGAGATTGGCATAAGAAAATTCACAGCTAACTGTAGATATTGATAAGATTCAAGTAAATAATTTCAGGAAAACTCAAGGGATGAGCCAAAATTATACAGAAAAATTCAAATCAGGATTAGCATTTGGAGCAAGGTTTCTGTGAAATCAGGGCTAGACAGCAGACCCAAAGAAAGAATAAAAAGAGCTTGTGTGAAACTTATAAAAAGGTACATCAGACCTGGATTCTCACTCCAATAAAGGAGGTTTTTCACTGAGAAGTAATTCTACATTTATGGCAGGATTGTAATTCAGTGCTGCTGAAAACAGTCTTTCTATGAGAACATGCTCATTTTTACAGACACAACATAAACTCCCAACTTCAGGAGATTCCTTTGCCACCTTGATCAAAAAACATTTACCAAAGCAATGGAGTGCTCTAAAGACAGCTCCACTCTGTGAGCTATACCTTCACCAGATATGGCCCAGCTAAATCCAGACCACAGACAGTACTCAGGCAAGGGAAGCACTGTATCTACCTCTTAGACAGGAAATTTTAAGTTTTTCTTATTTTTAAATTCCCAATAAGGAATTTTATTATATAGAGATTTTAAATAAGCAAATAAACAAATTCTCAAGTTTAGCGTGTATCTGTTGCTTTAGGTTAGATGTGTCCCCCAGTAGACTTAGTGATCATCTTTAGGTTAGATGTGTCCCCCAGTAGACTTAGTGATCATCTTTAGGTTAGATGTGTCTCCCAGTAGGCTTAGTGATCATCTTTAGGTTAGATGTGTTCCCCGGTAGGCTTAGTGATCATCTTTAGGTTAGATGTGTCCCCCAGTAGGCTTAGTCATCTTTAGGTTAGATGTGTCCCCCAGTGGACTTAGTGATCATCTTGTTAATGTGTATCTCCTTACATCCTTGTTCCAAGCTGCTTTCCTCCCAGCCTCTCCTCAGTTTTCCCCTTCCCTAGGGTTTGCCAGGAAGTCTCAATTTGTCTTCAAAACATACAACAAAATATGTTTGAGTCTCCAGTCTCTCCAGTCTCTCCTCTCTCTCTCTCTCTCTCGCTCTCGCTCTCGCTCTCGCTCTTGCTCTCTCTCTCTCTCCTCTTTCTCTTGGTCTTTTTGAGCAGGGTCTCCCTATAGCCCCAGCTGTAACTTGCCATGTAGACCATGCTGGCCTTGAACTCACAGAGATTCACCTGCCTCTGCCCCCCAAGTGTTGGAATTAAAGGCATGTCCCTCTCTCTTTTTTTCAATTGATTTTTTTGCAATTTTCATAATAGAGTTTGATGGTACTCAGATCATTTTCCCTATCTTTTCCTCTCCTTATTGCCCCTACCCAATTTAAACTACTTTAATATATATAATAAGGCCTATAGA